AAATCACATAATAGTGAAAAGATGGCTAATCTCTAGTAATTTATATGCGATAACTTTTAAAATAAATTCAATTAATTAGACTAAAATAGTAAAAAAATAAAAAGAATTTTGAGTTTTGCTATTTCAAAGTTTTAAAACTAAATAAAAAATATTCAACTACCAATTCGAATAAATTTCTTCAAAATTGAAAGATTCAACTATTTCAGAAGCTCGATCATGTCCATTTTCTTTAGCCTTTTGATACCATATTAAAGCTAAGTCGAGATTTTTTGGCACTCCTATTCCATATTGATAAAATTTTCCAATGTTGAATTGAGCTTTGTTATTTTCTAACTCTGCTGCTCTCAAGTACCAATCAAATGCTTTATTATCATTTTTATCTGTTCCTTCACCATACTCATAACATTGCCCAAGTCGAAATTGTAAACGAGAATTACCGCTAATTGCCAATTGTAAAATAAGCTCAAATAAGATATGTTCAATTTTTTTAATTTCATCAGTTTTTTCATAACTAAATCTTAGGATAAATTGGGCTTTGTCATGTTCAGACTCTGCTGATTTCAAATACCATTCGAATGCTTTTTGTTCATCTTTAATTGTTCCTTTTCCATTTGCATAATAAATGGCAAGATTATATTGTGCTTGAGGATATCCAGACTCTGCTGATTTCAAATACCATTCGAATGCTTTTTGTTCATCTTTAATTGTTCCTATTCCATCTTCATAAGAAAGGGCAAGATTAAATTGTGCTTGAGGAACTCCAGACTCTGCTGATTTCAAATACCATTCGAATGCTTTTTGTTCATCTTTAATTGTTCCTACTCCATCTGCATAATAAATGGCAAGATTAAATTGTGCTCGAGGATCTCCAGACTCTGCTGATTTCAAATACCATTCGAATGCATTTTTTTCATCTTTAATAGTTCCTTTTTCATTAGCACAATAAATGGCGATATGATTCTTATTTATATTTGCACCTTTTGTTACATATGAAGCTGATGATATTAGAATCCCTTCTGTTTCTATTTTTGTGGCTAATTTGACAGCGTTCTTTTCTGTTTCAAAAGATTGTTTTTGGATCCTTTCTTTACTAGTTGGGCTACATTCTACATTCAGATTATTTCCCAAATCACTGTTATTGAACGTGATATCTTGTTCGTTGTGAGAATTTACAATTATTCTTGTTTTTTTTGATGTAATGAATAAAGACGAAGAGGTTGAATTTCTTTCGAGGTGTGTTTGTTCGATTTCTTCTATTGATATCTTTTTTTTGTTAATTTCTGACATTTTATGTTTTGAAATTCAATTTATGTGCGCACTTTTTTAATTTGTTTTAACAAAAACGCTAGGTCTGTATTCGAACATCATCATGTTATTGTTACACTATATTCATACATGTAGTACATGTACATACATGTATACAATTCAGTGGTGATTTTCCCTTGTACACATTACTTTGTTACCGTTACGCGTGTTTTCTTGAAACACTAAAAACGCACGTCTCGTACGTTGTAAAGTCTTAATTTGAGATCATTCACCTTAAAATTACGAATTTATTTATCTTACTTTCTAATGTCAATTATCATTACAAGAATAAATTATGTAATATCAATATATTAATCAGTTACAACCAATTATCATAACAAGTAAGTCATAATTAGGGTTGTTAAGAGCAGCATACTATGTAATTTCTAAATTTGACTCCGCTCCGGAGCCATAATTCTGTAAACCTAATCCACTTCATGTGACGTTCTTGCTCCACATGGAGTGATCCGGAGCTAGAATGATGATCTATTTTAAAAACAGCCAATGAAATAGTTTCTGGATTAAAAAACCAGCGAAAAAATGAATTAACGATTCTGGTGATTTAGAATATTCCTGACGCGAAATCACTGATTCTCCCAAGGTAGTGAAAATAGATTCGTAAACATAGTATTTGGATATTGCTAGTGTTAGTTTCGTTATAACAAAGAGAAAAAGACAACAATTGTAGGACCAAACGGATGTGGATAAATAAGTTCATGATTATTGTTTCTTCAGTCTGAAAATATATATCGACAAATCATATAATTCGTTGGTGATTATTATGCAATGAATTTAGTTAGTTAATTATGTATAATACGGCCTTTGCAATTTATTAACAAATTTATCTATCAACGTGTGTTTTAATTGATTTAAAAATAATTCAATTTTTTATAACTTTATTTATTAAAATTCTCATAAACGTAAAATATCTACTTTAAATAAACGAGTTTTACTGGATAATGAACCTACTGAGAATGAGTCCGAGGATACTTTAGAAGAAACATTAACGGAACATACTGCAAGACCAACAAGCAAAGATGAAAGTGATGATTTAGCTCCAATAACTTCATTTTATCTTTAAATTTCTTGAAAAAAATTCACAGACCCAAGAAGTTACAAGCTTTGTTTGTTCAATTTGCAAAGTTCATTACAAACATTACAAACATTTACATAAAAAACACAACGATGAAATCAATAGTCAGCAAAATACTACAAATAGACATAAAAGCAAGCTTTATTCAAAAGCAGACAAATGATACCAAAACTTACAAATTCAATGTAGATTTCATTGTTTGTTGTCAGCTTCCCTTTGTGATCATAAATAATCTTTATTTTGCTATCATGTTAAATGCATTCGATGAACGTTATCAAATACCTTGTCGTCAAACTATAAAAATGAAATAATGGAACATTATGATAATATGCACGATAAGCTATTAAAAGAGCTTGAACGCCCATGTATCAATTACATGTACATGTAATATTTGGAGTTTATTTGTGTACCTCAAAAAGTAACACCAGATTTAAAATTACATGTTTATAGTAAAATACATATAAATTTTTTTGTTTATTTGATAATTAAACAGTCTTTCGATTTAAAAATGACATAAGTCTTGTTCATTTTTTCAAAAATACAATTGATTAGCTTTAAATGATATGAAATTTAGAAACAGTTACAAATAGAAATATATAACAAGAAATTTTCAATTTTCATATATAAAGCGCGGGAAATATGTTTTTCATATACACAACTCCTACAATATATCACCGGAAATTTCAAAAATGAATTTGTCATTTTGAAATCTGATATCTAGAGATCCAGTGATCCTATTCGAACAAAGATACCACTATTAGATTCGTTAGTTGAGATGAATCCAATGGTGGTATCTTTGTTCGAATGGGATCACTGGATCTCGAGATATCGGATTTCAAAGTGACAAATTCATTTTTGAAATTTCCAGTAATATATTGTAGGGGTGTGTATATTTCGTGGGAATTTTTTTACTTTCCAATTAAAACAGTCCTTGTATTTAAGTTACCGCAAGTCTTGTATTATTTTTTCAAAAATGCAATTAGCTCTAAATGATATAAATTTAGAAATCATTATTATAAAAAATTATATATGCACATTGCTTGAAAAATCCCATTATATAATTTTGGACGGGCGTTACTTTTTGGGCACTGAACATATTTGTCCATACAAACGATGCATTTTTTTTAATACAATATAAAAACGTATAGATCAAATGTAAGTTAAATTGAAAATGCATAGACCAATGCTATACATTCTTTTTCATACGGTTGAACCGGTGGGAATCTAGGAATTGACAAAAAAACTAATATGACAGTTCATATATTCATTTGGAAGATATAGAATTTATTTCAGAACATAATGTTGCAAATATCAAATATTTTTCTTAGGAATTAGAGAATTTAACCAGGAATCTAGAATATTTTAAAGAGTGAAAGAAAGTTAAATCTATTTTGTATTTAAGTCGTTATATCTAAATAGCAATAAATAAACTTTTGTAGATAAAATTGCTGGTAAACTAACGGGTTCTTTTGGTGAACCTCTAGAGGAATTCCGAATTTCCTAGTGGTTTTATTGAGGTTTATATGTTTTCTTCTAAATTCAATGAATTTTTAGAAATTTTTTATTGCAGTGTCAGAATCATCATAAGAGAATTTGCTACCTAGTATTCTATTTGATTACTATAATTGTGGATAAATTATTTCACAAAAATATGAAAATTTTTATTTTCTTTTAAAATCAATAATTATCAATGAATCACTTGTTTTCTGTAATTACTTAATGTTCTACCAGAACTTACAAAAATAGAATTAAGTTAGGTAAAGGAAATATCTTTATAGTAATATCGATTTTATCAATATTATATCTTAATATCCAATTTTTTTATAAACAAAAGAAACAACAACAATAAGAGATGCAATTAATTTATATATGAATTTCAAAGTTTTGAATAATTTAAGATTCAACACATACTACTTAACTTCATAAAGATACATAGAAAGGATGTTTGATGTACTATATCTTAATAATTATTTTATGACATTACATGTAGTAAACCCATCAAAAACGTAAAAATCTCGATCTTGTGGACTCAAAGAGCATAGCCCATTCATAATTATTTATCGAACACGCGCAAATATAATCTTATATTATTATTACTAAAAATTTAATCACATTAGAGATTTGCACCGGGTAACCCTAGAATTGTCTGTATTGGACATGGTTAAGAAACGCTACCGTTAAGCAAAGAACAATATTTGCGGTGCATGATTCCTAATTATGGTTATTCATAAAATAGGATATATGTAAATTTGCAAATAAAAGGTTAAGGACGAAACCGAAATTGATGTTTCAAGTTTTGCCAGTAGTTCGGAAAGCCAAACCTCCTAAAGTATTATGCTTAATATCAATATAATTTTCGTATACAGTAATGTGATATTTATGAGCCGGCAAAAATTAGTACAACAATCGTCGTCATATTGCAAGTTTTCAAACTTGTCTTCTTACAGTTTTATGTGTTCATTTTGAATACCAAAAAGGAAGAAATATAAAGAAGTATCGATATTACAGTATCAATCATTACACAAATATACATGTATCTTGACCTTTCATAACATATACATGTACTACTGAAAGCAATTATCAGGATAGATAAAAAATTGACATGTCTTCGAATGACTATCAGAAATTCAATATAAAATATAACGATAAGGAAATGCAATATGTTAACGCTAACGAAAGGCAACATATTAACGCTAACGAAATGCAACATTTTAACGTTAAAGAAAGACGAGCAAGGTTAATAATTTTGCTCATTACTGGAATTTTAATCATTGGCTACGGCATTTGGAATGTCTGGCGCATGGTAGAAGCTATACAATCACCTGTCATCATCGGTTCAAGAAATATAGATCGAGTTGAAATGTATGTAAAGTTTTTATTTTTAAGGGAACTATGCTTTACTAGGTTGTATGTATGTAATGACACCTATTAAATATATATAATAACAGGTGCCTGGTGTCGTGCTTTGCGGCTCAACCATAGTTAAAATTCAATGCTATACAAGCGCCGTTAATGCAGCTGACGACGATATTACTATGGCAAGACGTGAATTCAAGTAAAAAGACCAATATATAATTACCTAAATATTTAATTTGTTGAATTTTACAGGGTAAATCTTGTGATAAATACGTCTTGGTTGAAGCATATGATGCCACTGTCTTTGTTAATATGCGTGGTTTCCATAATTTGCCAGGTTACTACTTCTGTAAGGTTTTGAACTATATATAGATCAAACATGTAATCAAATTCAATTCAAACTAGACTTATTTACGCATATATATTCTGCTAGATATCTTTGACCCTCAAAAACCTCAAGTACCAATATATGGAACAAAACATCTTAGCTTTAATAATTCGACACAGAAAATTGAATTGGCCTTATATTCAAACATAGAAGCGAATAATACGGTAAATAAGACTCTATTACATCTATTAAATAATGTAAAACGACTTAATAATTTTAATTTCATAATTACAAGCGAGGGGCTATTACAAAGGATGAATGGTTTTTCTTTGGAGTATTCACTGAGCAGGAAGATCCTCGGAAAGTTAGCTTTCAATTAGTGAACATAGTAAATAACATGTTTCATAAAAGCAGCTTTTAATCAATTCTCGATATTTGCTAAAAACACAGTTTCTTCTATTTAAATAGCCTGCATTATCATATCTATATTTTAAACGTATCGAAAAAAAACAAACGGTCAAAACTGACGCAATCACTGGTGGAAGCATTAGTAATATGTACTATGATCCAACTGCAGATGTAGAACTAGTTACATCCTTTATCACTTCGAGAGTATCTGGAATTGGTTCAGATCCATATCTTTGGTGTGTTTTCCGAATTATTCCACAAAATCACAGATTTGACGAAGCAACTTTCACGCATATTTATTCTGTGGAACTCTGGTATAAGCGTATTGAATTCACATTTCTTCAGTTGACTGCTAACATGGGTGATTTCGTGAGCCTTCTAAGCACTTTTTATTTCTTTTTGCTTGGATCGAGACGCCTTAATCCATGGGGTGCAGTTCAAAAATATGTATGTTTAATTTATTGACATTAATCTTCTAAGAAACAGGTGCCTGTGAAAAATACGAAAATATCTATTGCATTCGTAACCGCTCGTAAAAGTATTGTTTTACAGATATACAAACGCGTAAGTTTGTGTATGTAAAAATTATAAAGTCAGTTTGTCATACATATTATAAAAGCAAACAGACTTTTAGATTCTTTTACTTGCGTGTTTGTACGTCCGTAAAAGATACTTTTATGACTTTTTCATGTATTTCCGTATTTTTCAGCCGCTGATATCGGTCTAAATGACAGGAACAAATGGATCCGTTATATCGACTTTGCTTTAATAATGATTAATCAAATTCTATCGCTGTAGATTCTTAAAACAATTCCACCTCCACCTGCATGCACAACAACTAACATGTTAAATACAAACCAACAAATGCCATATGCCGACGCATACCAATCACCATTCCACTCAGTTGAAAAATATCACAATGACCCACAGATTCAGCGTTTAAGAAATGAAATACGAGCTGAATTAAGAGCTGAAACACAAGCAATTGCAAAAGACATCGGAAAATTGAAATTATATTTAGGTAAACATTATTTGCAAGGTGTTGTACCGAAAAATGAATAATAAAACTATAGATATGGGATAAACGTTCGCTTCTTTGTATTTGTCTTTAGTGACATGTATTTGTGAAGTAAAAATTTTTACGTTATTATGGAATTTTATTATGTATTTTAATGAGCTTCAATGAACTCATCTCTTCTCGATTATTTATCTAAATACATGTACAATTTGCAATGATTCTGTCGGGAATAACAAGAATATTCTTTAAGCATAGGTTTTTGTGCTTTTGGGATGGTATGGAATACAACTATAAATATACTGTATGTATAATGTTTTTATTATACTAAACGATCCTATATATGAACTGGGAAAAAATATTTCAATCCAATGGGCTTGCAAAGAAATTACGTAATATTAATTGTGCATAATATAGCATATATTTTGCATCAACATTTTAAACTCAATTATTTTCTTGGATTAATAACTATTGAAAGAATGCTTTTTTATGAGTCTAATGAGGTTCTTGCTTTTACACACCCTTACAATATATTACCGGAAATTTCAAAAATGAATTTGTCACTTTGGAACCCGATATTTCGACCTCCGGTGATCCCCTTCGAACAAAGATATACCATTTGATTCGTATAAATAGTCTAGATGAATCTAATGGTAATATTTTTGTTCGAAGGGGATCACCGGATGTCGAAATATCGGGTTCCAAAGTGACAAATTCATTTTTGAAATTTCCGGTAATAGGGGGATATGTGTGTACTAATGATACCTGACTAAACTATTTTCATGATGACGAAACGTTTCGACACGTCATTCACAAAACTTTCTGATTAATCAAAATACATGTAACAGGTTAAATCACATGATGATTGATGAAATAGTACCCTAGCCACGGTGAAAAACGTATCGAACACGTGATGATAATCATATCCGACCAATAAGAATGAGCAAAAATATGTACAGCCAATAGAAATGTAGCAAATTTGAGATCAGTCACGGCAAAAAAATCCGACACAAGAAAATGAAAAATGCAAAAAATGCAGAAAACAGATACCTAAATTTATCTTGGAGCACTATTGAAAAATGTTAGGAAGGCAATTTATTTATAAACTTTGCTCGAACCCTAACCAAACCCTGATACTTGATCTTTAATATAAATCGGATATTTCAATAGCCCTGGTCGTCGTCACGTGACTGGCACTTTTTTTCGCCGTGGCTAAGGTACTAATGATGAAACCTGTGACGAATCAAAATAATAGCTAAAATCACATGTACAAAGCCTATTCCGAATTTTAAAAAATGCTACATGTGTTTGATTGATTGGCTGGCATTATAAAAACTTGAGAAAAGTGTCTACTTTTAAATACATACCTCTGGGAAAATTATGTAAAAAATAAACCGATAAATTTATAAACTTGACTTGACCTATTGTTTTTATGGTTTAGTTTGCCAAAAATTGTCTTTCGTCAGATGATTCATCATTCGCCACTTACATTTCCAACGTGGCCATGACAAAGGGTAATTTTCTAAACAATATATTAAAACAATGTTTACTTTTCTCAAAAAAACGCGAAAAAGTGGAACACTAAAGATCTAATTTAGGTGTCTGCATAATTTTTTTGCCCTCTGTACACTCCAATTCCAAACTCGAGTTATTCCAGTCATGTCTAATTTATGACAATGCCACATTTTTGTTTGAGGTTTGACTATACGTATATTTAAATGTACTTTTTGAGAACCAATATTCGCAGAAGTTTACTGGATAAGTATATCAATTTCACATCATGCAATGATCTGAATATACACATTCTTCAACAGATCCATATTTCGATGTGATGTACTCCTTTTATCACTAAGTTACCTTCTTTGGATCATTTCGTAATACATGATCAAGATATTTGCCTGTTATCGCTGTCATCTTTTGCTAGAGCTTCAATTCGTATTCGTTATTAGACGAATTTTCAATATACATGTATGTTGCAGAAAGTTGTACATGTAGTACATTAACATCAATTTTGACAATGTTCGAATAGACCATTTGATATATGGTATTCGTTGAATAGTTTTTATTCATTCACTGAATATTCGAATAAACCCTTACAGATCCAAAATAATTTGAATAGCAATTTAGTAAACTCAATTCTTTACAACCAGAATTTGCAGTAGGATCGTCAAGCTCAGACTTTACAATTATTTATGTTAGCAATTAATGCTTTCTTTATCGAATTGGCTGGATGTCAATACGAACAAGGCTTTGATGTTATTTCAGAACTGGAGAATGTTAGTTTGGATAAAAAAAATCAAAATTTTTCGTTTGCGAATAAAATGTTGATATTTATTCAAAAGCAGATAAAGCGATAAAAGTTAAGTGACTTATAAAAGAATGAGTAGAAGAGTTTAATGTAGTAAACATTTTCTGTTTAAAATGTGAATGAAGATTCAAGTTTAATGCATAATAAAGTAGACAATAACTTTGTATTTTATGAGAAACTTTGAGTATAATTCTCAATCATTTAATCTGGTTTCTCTTTTAATACTCAAATTCAAAGATATGGTGAACCAAGTTTATTGTTTCAAAATTAGGATTTCGATAGTTTCGAACTTAGAGGTGCGAAACTGAAAGTTCACTGGGCGAAACATTTCGAATTTTGAAAAATATTTTTGCTTGAAACACTAATGTATAATTAACAAGAGAAAAGGTAAAAAATGATGTTTTGATTTAGTAGAACATTGTAATGAATTAACTCTACTAAACCAAGATATAGGATATTACCATCGTTTATATATTTCTACATATATTATGGCAGAAAAAGAAGTGGATAAATAGAGAAAATATTTATCTAAAAATTGGGTTTTATATGATATAAGTACTTTTTTGAACAAATAATTTGTTATGCACTTTGATATAGATCTAATGTTTATATTTATGAAGTTTATTTTGCGAATTTTAAGTTCAAATTCATAGTTTTCTATTGTTACCGTATCCTACCAAAATGGGACCACTCAATCTTGATGGTTTGACTCTAAAGAATGGGATGGTGCCTATTTCCAAACATATCTTTCGCAGTTCGAAATTTTTGACATTCAAGTCGATTTTAGATATCAATACATATACAGTATTTTTATACTTTTAGTATTCTAACCTATTGATTGAAACCGTCCCAAAAATTTAACAACCGGTTAACCTTTGATAAAACTCTCGTTTAACCGGTGAAACAGGTTAGTTAATTGAGTTGTATTAATACACATATCATATAATTAATTTCGATTAAAAGTGTTTATAATCACTAATTTCGATATATAGAAAATAAAAATTCTAAATAAAAATAAAAATTTTCAAATTAATGACAAATAACCACCCGAAAATATGGAACCTACAAACTTAATATTTCTTTTCAAAGAAGCATAGCTTCAAAAAGTTTAAAGTTCAGGAGTGTTTTTTAACAATCATTAAATTTCCTGCATCAAAGATTTATAATTGCCTGATACATGATTCGTAATTAAGTCAATCTCTATTACCGTTTCTCCAACGGTTAAACACATCATAACGATAACCGGTTAACTGTTGAGCCGACCTGTGAACCGGATGGTTCAATGGTTAACACAGTCAACCCTTGAACGAGTCGGATCACTAATATGAATGCTCACTTATTCATGGTTTTACTAATTTAATGAAATCAGAGGTGGTACTTATTCCGGCAGAGTACGGTAATTAACTTTTTTAGATGCTATTTGCGTTTAATGCAAGATTTAATCTTGAATCATATCGCTAAAGCTTATTATTATCATACATGCGAATTTGAGACCTTTAAATCAAAAATTTTCCGTAACTTAAGCACACTTTGCAAATTCGATTTCGAAAACGTAGACAATCAAATAAACAAAATATTTCGTATATGTCATGTTATCATTATCAGCTTACGCTACTACTTAATAATGCCAGTTTAGGATGCAAACATTGAAGTAAGTTACTTAAAAGATGCATAGCAACAAAATGACGTTATCAAAACGACATGGCCTCTAAATGCAAGTTTGATGAATATAATCTGCCGAAATTTTTATTAGAATTCCCCTTGTTTCGAGTTTTCAGAAAACTAAATATGCGTTCAAATAATACATAAAAATTTTTTTATCATTAACAAATGCATTATCCACGATCTATATTGCTTCAATATCACCTCAATTCTATATGGCATCGAGCTCACATCCTACCCCAAACTAACACATTAAATTTTGACTACACCTTCTTCAGAGTATGTTCAGAATTTTTGAAAAGCTTTTACGCTTTAGAATATTGTTTTACAATGGTTTCTAGATGTTAGGTCTGGGTGAGTACGTTAATTGATTCATAATCATTAACATTCCTATTTCGTGATCTTTTTAGAATCAGAATTAGGGTTAGAGTTAAGCTAAAACGCCATAATTTTTCAAATTAATGAGCATAATATATTATGAAAGTACCTTAAAAATCTTCGGGTAAATTTTTACAAAGATTTTTTGTTCACAATGTCACGAAATGGCTTAGGTTGTCTTTTTTGGCTTGTAATGTGTGTTTTTTTCTTGCTTGTTAAGAGCTTGTGACCTTCCAAACCCTGGTAAATTTCTTTTTTCCTATTCTCTTGTATTCAGCAAGAGACTTATCCCGTCAGATCATTTTTCTTGCAACTTGCATGGCACTCAGAACTCTAATAAAAATTACTCACTTTACCTTGTCGTATGTTTAAAAGTCGAAGAAAGAAATTTGAAAAGGGATCAGTTTTACTGAACCAAATTTCAAATTTTCTAGTTTTGATTCTGAATTTTCATTACATCCGATTAAAGTCATGATAATGGCAATGTTATTTGTAAAATTGTCTTCCCGACATTTTTAATTAATAGCCCAAGACAGATTTATGCATCAGTTTCCTCGTAGTCTTACTTTTTTCATCGCTTTGAGTCGGATTTACCGGGTCGATCAAAAATTTGTGCATTCTTATTGGTTATTGACAAAAATTTGCGCATCCTATTGGATGAATTACAGATTAGGAAATTGGTCACATAAAACGCCACAT